GAAGATAGGGATACGATGGTGTGCCATACATAAGAAAGCAGGGTGGGTAGCCTGTTACTTCGTGAGGCGTTCTATTGTACTCGTCGACAACGTCCGAGAGGAGACGCGGCCACGGTTTTCGGGGTTCATCGTTGATCTTGCATCGCAGGCGAGTAACGATCGTCTGATTAGTGCGCTCGTTTAGGCCATTACACTGCGGGCGTTGTGAGCTTGTTAAAAGCTGATGAATATTGCTGTGCTTGAGGGGCTGCTTAAGTTTGCCGGCAGTGAATCCTGTACCGCAGTCGGAAAGGAACTTCCGCGGCTGTCCAGCAGCGAAGATACTCTTCAGGCAAGAGATGTACACGTCGCAAGTCGCATTCTTGTGTGCGAAAGCCCAGACATAACGGGTGGCATGATCGACGGCTAAGTGAATGAATCTTTGGATGAGCCGTAGTTGCCAAAACCTCCGATAGTGTCCATGGCCAGAAGATCAAACGGTTGTTCCGCTGGTGGCAAAGACTCCAAGGAACCAAATCGTTTGTTCTTCGGTTTCTTGCAGCGCTGGCAGGTATCGCAGTGGCGTATGTACTCGCTCACGTCGGTGATGATGTTGGGCCAATAGTACTGTGGAGAGAGAAGCCGCCGCGTCTTCTTTACCCCGACATGACCGAAAGCGTCATGAACTTTTTGGAGAAGAGAAGACAGGAGGGCAAAAGGCACATAGACTTTTCGTATTCCCCTGCGTGTCACTATACTCAGTCCGTTCTCAATGGTATGCTTTCCGGGTGGTTTGTCGTCGTCATGCTCTCGCAGTTGCTCAGCAGATAGGAGTTGAACTACCGGGCTTCAAGATAGTGCATCAGCTTCAATGTTGTCAATGCCCTTTTGGTGTTTGATGTTCACGTCGTACATGGAGAGTTTCAAGGACCACCGGAAAAGTCGGCCTCGGGGATTCTTGACGCTTTTAAGCCATTGCAACGCTGCGTGATCTGTGATCACAGTGAAAGACTTCCCGTGTAGATAGCAGTGCCATTTATCGATGGCGTCAATAATTGCCAAACATTCGAGTTCTGTGATGGCGTAATTAATTTCGTGTTTTAGTAACTTCCGTGAATGGTATGCGATTGGGTGCTCTCTACCTTCATCATCAGCCTGCTTCAAGACGGCGCCAATACCTCTGTTGGATGCATCGTAGTATAGCACACAAGGCTTAGTGGCATCGTAGATGTTAAGGATTGGCTCTTCTGTCACGCATTTGTTGAGCTGAGTGAAAGGCAGTTCACACTCCGTATCCCAGTTCCAGGTGGCGTCTTTGCTGAGCAGGCGCGTCAGTGGATGAGCGATTTGACTGAAGTGGTCGATGTATCGCCGGTAAACATTGACAGTGCCGAGAAAACGCTGCAACTCTTTAGGGCGTGATAATGTCGGAAACCGTAGGATTGCGTCCACGTTGCTTTGCTTTGAAGTGACGGTGCCGTGCGAAACCTTGTGTCCCAGGTACTCAATGGAGGTTCGAGCGAATTGACATTTCTTTCATTTCAGCTTGACGCCTTTGCTTTTGAAAGCTTTCAAAACGCCCTCCATATGCCTCAGATGGTCTGGAAACGTGTCAGAGTAGACAACAATGTCATCGAAGTAATTCGTGACGTTCCGCAAACGGTGTTCTGCCAATACGAATTTGACAGCCCGTTCGAAGGTGGCCGGAGCATTCCGAAGGCCAAAAGGCATGACGAGCCACTCGTAGTGACCGGTACGTGTGACAAACGCCGTTTTCGGAATGTCATCAGGGTGAATCTTCACGTGCCAGTAACCTGACGTTATGTCTAATGTCGAGAAGTACGTAGATTTCCCCAGAGAAACGAGAACGTCATCGATGCGAGGGATGGGCTGATAATCAGGCACCGTCGATTCGTTCAGCTTGCGGTAGTCGATGCAGAAGCGCGTGCGTCCTTCCTCTATTTTCTCTGCCAGAAGTGCTGGCGCAGCGTATGGGGAGGTAGATAGTCGTATGGCACCTTGCTTGAGAAGCTCATTGATCTGTCTGTCCATTTCAACGCTGTCAGTTTCTGAGCATCGATAGGGAGCTCTACGAATGGGAACATTGTTGTTGAGATGAATGCGATGCATTTCGCCGTTGATGCACCCAATGTCTGTCTGTGACATGGAAAAAATGTCATCGTACTTGTGGATAAGCTGCTTCAATGCCAACTGTTGAGTTTTATTTAGATGTAGTACATCACAAACTTTAACACCTTGCAAAGACGCGCCCTTGTTAACCGTGGTTTGGTTCTGTGTACGAGAATGGAGGATGTCTTTCCCTTGGCGTAGAGTCATAGTGTCAAGGTCCAGCGACAAGTTAAAGAGGCAAGCACTATCCAAGCCAAGAAGTAAGTTGCTCTTCATGCCTTGTAGAACATGAGCCTGAATTTCTCTTGTCACTTTTTCTATCTGTACCTTTAGATTAACGCGACGCAAAGTTTTGGTAGATGATGTGACTTGTTGAACTGAGATGCATGAATTCCTCATTATTTGCAGGTGAAGTGCCTTGAGCACTGCTTCGTTCATACAGGTAATCGTAGCTCCAGTATCAAGTGTAGCGCTGACAAGGTACCCGTTAATGAGGGCATCAAACTGAATTACATGAACTCTGGGTCGCCCCCCTCGTTTTCCTGGTTGGTGGAGAGGGCGGAAATGCTTGCGCGTCGTGGGCATTCATTATGCAAGTGCATCTGTCGGGGTAAGCCATCCATCGCGCAGTGTTTGCACTCACGCACGGGTGTTCGTACCGGGGAATTACGTGGACGCTGACTAGTTCTGTCACTTGTTACGTTAATCTGTGTATTTCGAGCTGGTGGAAAGCGATGTAACTTCATTCTCTGCATGGTTGACTTTACACGAAGTGCAGCTGTAAGCCATGCCTCTGGTGTAGACGAGGTAAGCCCAGCAAGCGCCATCTCCATATGCGCAGGAAGGCCGTCGATGAGCCCTGATATAAGGTGCCTGTCCTTTAGGTCGACGAGGCGTCCGAGAGACATTTTTTTCATTATAGCATTCCTTCAAGCTCTGGCCTGTTCGCAACCGGCAATGAATGAATTGGCGAAAAGGATCCGTGACGCCGCTCGTAAAGCGTCCCTTCATGCGTTCACAAAAGCTCTCCCAAGACGCGTCTGTGTCGAAAACCTCGGTGAGAGACCATCGGAAAGCCTCACCTTCAAGGTAATCGGAGAAGTAACACAGCTTGTCTCGCTCCGTCCATGCTGCGGCCGAAGTCCTCACCTAAAAGAGCCGGAGCCACTTGTCAAAGCGGACGTCCGTAAATGCTCCCGAGTACTTCGGGATGTTGATGACTTTCTTGGATGTGGCCATGATGTAGGGCACGGTAGATCCTGTCGACTAGTGTGACGCAGGAGGCGTGATGGCTGTACGATGAACCATTTATTTGTCTTCGTCTTCCTCCTTCTCTACCATTCCACCACACCGTTCTCGTGTGGTTCGTCACATATATATATATATATATATATATATATATATATATATGTGTATCTATATGTATAAAAATCAAAAAAGAAAAAAATTCAGAAAGAAAGCGTTCTGGCTCGCAGAATCGAACGTGGAATCTCTGCGCCGTGAAAGTGAGGCATTACCCACTAAGCCACCCCAGAAAACGTTCTTTACCGTTCAAACGGTAAGCTATTTATATCTACCGCTAACAGCAGCTGTGTTTTCGGCATTACCAGAAAGATGGCCCAATGAGTGCACGTCGTCACACCTCGCAGCGGCGCCCGCTCTAATCTCCTACGTGTACTTTGCACGGCTTTGAGAAGGGGAGCTACGTTCCCTCGCGCACCCTTATCTCGCGGTGGCGAGGAGGGGAGGATCGTACGCCTTGGCTGGCCATGGGTTTTACGTGGAACGATTCTTCTGTGGTTAACGGGCGCACAAAGGTCACTGCAATCATTGCAGTCTCCGTTCACGAAAAGTGCGCGCTTTTCAGACTCAGTGAAGTAACAAATGAGACACTTATTCACATGCATCCGCACCTGTGAGTACGTTTGTGCGTAATTTGTGCGCGAGAAATGCGGGGCCCGCTTCGATCTACTTTCCATTCTGCGCGGGACCTTTCAAATTGTTGCTACCACGTTCATTGCTTTACGTTTGCGGCAAGGATTTTACTTTTTTGTAATCTGATCATGCATATTTTGACGTTACTTCCGGGTGAAAATACGTCCCTGAAGTCTTTGCAGACCCCAGCATAAAACAATTACGCGTTAAAAATGATCAAATGTTGTCACATATATAGCAGAAGGTTACCCATCCCAAAACTTATAGATATCTTTACGTGGCCCCATCTCTGCCGCCGGTGATTTCACTCTGTGTGAATTGAATAATACATAAGAGAAAAGTAAACATGAATCTTAAAAGTTATGTCGCTATCAGCAAAAACTCCCAAATTTACCTAACAGAGGCCTACTGAAATATTTTCGTACATTTGAAGTGTTCCAATGCGAAACACGTGGTGTATCACTAAACTTCATTTCTACATTCTTGATACACGTCGGACTACATTGCAACTATCTTGGAAGAGGACACGCTCAGCAGTGCCACCCTTTACCAGAATGTCCGGGTGGTTAGCTTCTCTATAGATCATGGAGTTCGTTTTGACAACTATATTATTTCATCAGGCACTATGTCTTGCACACTTTCTATGCCGTTCATCCTGGGTTTCACTGCCATTGGTAAGAGGAGGTTACATACACATATTCTTAAAACCCGTTCACAAACAAAGCGCGGTAACTAGTTACCTTTTTTCAAGGCACAGACATGTCAAAGAACTGCCTGTTCTGCTCCTTAGTAGAGTATATTTACAAGCCACAACATCATAGGTGATGAGAAGCTAATAATAACCTATCACACACGGCCCCTATGAGTGCAGGAACAAGGTGTTACGCTCACTTTGAGGTGTAAGTGGGAATGGAAGCATGGGGACGTGATCGAAGGTCTCGTAAGCAATTATTTCCTCTCTTTTTTTGCGCTTTCCTAGCCTTTCACACTGGTGTAGGTGAAGTTTTCGAAAGCCTTGAAAATAAATACAACGGTAATGGGCAAATGATGCTCCAATTTATAAGCACCATGTCAATTTGAAATATTCGTGTTCCTAAGGAATGTCAGTTCAGAATGTGTTCATCCCAATGACCATTGGAACCTGTACGACAGAATAGCCTTAATCGTCTTCTCCATCCTGCGCTCCTTTTATGTCCTGAAATGGAAAAAGAAGTCTATAAAACGCACCAAAAGCTTGAAATCTCAACATTTATCAATATTTGAAACAAAGTATGAAAGACTTCATCGCCTTAAGAGCCTATCTCCTGCCCATTAAGGAATATGGTAAGGTAAAATTCCCATATGGCGCTTCAAGAGCAAAAAGGGGCTGTCGGGCTCAAGAGTGTCTACAGAGGTGATGCGAAGAATAGTCATCACGTGGCGACGCCTGTGGGACGATTTATAACATGAAGTTCCACGATCGTGTCATCAAAAAACTTCGTCACTTTGTAAAGGGTACCTAAATCCCAGGTGAGGTGCTGAATATATTGTCCAGTGTGAACAATCCTGTATGCAGTGCGAAGCCACGTTAAGTGCAGAAGTGTTTTGTCATTGACAGGGGAAGAGGATTTTTACTAAAAAAATTAGCACAAATTTCCCCTTTACGTCGTCTTGTCAAATGTATGATGCAGTATGGGCATTTTTTTCGGCATATAACCTAATATATGACCCGGATAGATTCTCACCCGGATAGATTCTAACCCGGATAGATTCTGGCGGTACTTGAGCGATGCGCATAAAACACCGACCGAGATATCAGTAAATGGCTGTATTGTTAACGATCCAGTCAAAATTGCAAACCAATTCAATCAGTATTTTCACTCAGTATTCACTCAGGGAGATCATGCTGACACAAATATTATTTCTCTGTCTACTATATCTGCCGATTTCATAACTGTCGAAGGTGTCCTTTCACTGTTACTGAATGTTAGGACTAAATCTTCCGATGGTCCCGACGGCATACCTAATGCATTTTTGCAACGTTACGCCGAACCTATCGCGCATGTCTTCACCCATATTTTTCGTCTTTCGTTTCATAATTCAATTCTTCCAGATGATTGGCGAACGGCATGTGTTATTCCCGTATTTAAAAAAGGTGATCGCCTAAATGTTGAAAACTACCGGCCAATATCATTAATTTCCGGTCCTTGTAAACTTCTTGAGCATATCATCACGCATTACATAATGTCATTTCTTGAAGAAAACAGTATTTTGACTCCTTTCCAACATGGTTTTAGGAAGGTCCTCTCGACTACAACTCAACTTGTCACCACAATTCACGACTTCGCAATGGCACTTGATAAGGGCGACCAAATAGACGCCATCTTCTTAGATTTTAGAAAAGCTTTCAACTGTGTTTGCCATAGTAAATTACTCACCAAACTTTCAAACTTTGGCCTACCCATTACTGTAATTAATTGGATCCGCTCCTACCTTACCAGCCACAAACAGTTTGTCCAGGTCGAGGGCTGCTGCTCTGGGTTTCTACCTGTAACCTCGGGATTTCCACAAGGCAGTGTCCTTGGCCCTGTCTTGTTTCTCATCTTTATCAATGACATCGTTTTATTAGTTGACACCTCCGCCATAAGCCTAAAGCTTTTTGCAGATGACTGCATTCTTTACAAGCCAATTAAAAGTGAAAGGGACCAGGAGTGCTTGCAGAACAACCTAAATTCTCTCTCCGATTGGCGCCATACCTGGTCCATAGAGTTAAACATTAGTAAATTGGTCTATATGCGTATCTCAAATAAAATTACCCCTTTTGCGTCCCACTGCACCTTAAATAATAATCCGTTGTTTGAAGTGAGCAATTTTAAATACTTGGGAGTCAGTATCATCAATCGACTGTCGTGGAGTAACCACATTGACGACGCTTGTTCCTCCGCCTCTAGAAAACTAGGGTTTCTTATACACAAACTAAAAAACGCGCCAACTCAGATCAAACTTCTTGCATATAATACATTTATTCGACCCCGTCTAGAGTACGCAAGCGTAGCCTGGGACACGTATTTTAAAAAGGATGTTTATAAACTTGAAATGGTCCAGAGGAGAGCGGTAAGATTCATCTATAATACCTATCACAATCTTGATTCACCTTCATCACTTATGGCTACTAACAACATTCCGCTCTTGAAACAACGTAGAACTATCGCAAGACTCAAGTTTCTTTTCCTGCTTCGTAATCATCAGTTTAATAACGATCCCAGTAAATACATCTCTCCCTCTTCTTCCAGGAAAACCAGGCATGCTCACAATCATGATCTGACACTTCACCTTGCACGTACTAACCTTTTCAAACATTCCTTCTTTCCGAGAACCATTAGCGAATGGAATGCACTGCCTTCAAATGTTTTTCCTGAACGTGGCATTCCCGACTTTGAAAACTACATGCATCTTTTGTGTAATCAACACTGTTGATATTTCAATGCTAGATTACCTCATCTTATTATTTCAACTGTTTAGCTTTATTTTTTGTGCTTGAAACTGTTTCTAGAAGTTTTTTCGCTTTTTTTTCTGGATATGTATAACTAAGCATCCTATTTAGTATGTCTTGTTTTTCAGTAGCTTTGTGTATTCTAACTTGCTGTATAACTTGTTCGCTTTTTTCGCTATGCTCCCTTTTTGTGCCCCTCCTGTTTGGTCTACGGACTGCAGTATGTAATAAATAAAAATAAAATAATACTCGGCTTATTTCATAAAGAGAGACCATACTTACCGTTCATTTCAACTGTGGTGCTTTAGAATGGGGCCCAGAAGAGACGCAATAGCTATTAATTGCTGCCGCAAAATCGTGAGAAGTGTGAGAGGGTAAACAGAAACGAACGCTTTGCCATCCTCGCATGACAAAAAGGCGCGTCCCCACCCCCCAACCTCCGCCCAAAAAACGTCATCAACAGTAACTTCAAAAAGCAATCTTGGTCAAATTATTTCATCAGTGCACGGAAACAAGCATCGCATAAACCACGCCAGTTAATTCCGCTACTTATAGAAGCAAATATAATCGATGGCAGCAAAAATAAAAAAAAACGGCAGATTCCACGTACCTGGAAATCGACGTTATGCGAAGCATGCTGAGAGAAGGTGACTGTTTTTCAATTTTTTATCGAGCGACACGTCATGAAATGACGCTACATATATGTACAAATTTTGCACGCACAGACATATGTTGAAGAGCTTCAGATGTTTATATATAACCAGTTGCACTTGCACAACGATGCCAACTGAAACATTCGTTTTAGCAACACCAGAAGCTCATACGAAGCGCTGACGATCGCGAAGTTGCTGGCCCTGGACACTGCTACATAAACCAACTTCAGCGCATGGCAACTGACCGCAATTGACGTTAAACCGTGCGACGGCTGTATTAAAGGAATACGTATGTAATGGTAATAAAATTAGGTAGGCAGCACTGCAACCACTATTTACGTTTCACGACAATTAGCGTCTACTTGAAAAGTAGTTCCGAGACCTGGCGTAGCTCTGCAATAAAATGCTTCATTGCCACGCAGAATGCATGGGCTCGATTCCAGCTGGGATCATGACATTCTTTGAATTCGTCGGGTCAACGCTACTGTTGTCGGGTGTTGAACGCTCATGCATTCAAATTGCCTATGTGTGTTCTCGTCATTCCTGAATAGATGCAAAGTCATTCCTGAATAGATGCACATACCCGCCCATGGGTATGTGCCAGTGTCTGGCGGGAAGTGTTTGACGACGTACGTGACGAGATTGTGACATTAATGATGTATTGACCAGCACGTCATATTCGTCAAACCATCTTAGCCTCCCATGCTGATTTTGGTTCACGCCAAGTCAAAGTAGTGACCACGAGAGCACCCAAACGTAAGCGGCTACATAGATAGATAGATAGATAGATAGATAGATAGATAGATAGATAGATAGATAGATAGATAGATAGATAGATAGATAGATAGATAGATAGATAGATAGATAGATAGATAGATAGATAGATAGATAGATAGATAGATAGATAGATAGATAGATAGATAGATAGATAGATAGATAGATAGATTCAAAATCGCCGTAGTTCGCAAGGAAATGCTTCGCATTTCATACTGAACAGGTTGTCGCACACTAATAATTAAAGGGACCAGCAACCGAATTTTTTCGTCACAAACTTTCCCCCCTCCCGACAGGAAGATTACCCCTCTTATTGTGTGTAGCTGCAGTAGTTAATGCTAAGATCACGTAGTTATTTCGTGAGCAGCATTTTTCTATCTGGATGGCTCTGAACGCGGATGTCTCTTTTTGTCCGGTGACGCTGAGAGTCGATAGCGATGCCGGTAGCCTTTCTTGCAACTCATGGATACTCTCCTTGTTCTGCTTTCGCAGGAGTTCCTGTAACTGTGCTTAACCCCGTTTCATCTGAGCTTTGCATATACTTTTAAAACAACATCAAGCCGTTACATTGAGACGATGTGGCTTTATACAGTTTCCTTGTATTCCTACCACATGGAGTTCGCCTGCGCGCAAGGTTGAGGCGCCAATCTTGTGAATGGCCTGTTCCGTCGTCGTTGCTCTCTAGACACACGAGCCAAGCCGAGTCGCCGCAAACGTCACTGCGCACATGCGCGGCCATGCCGAATTGCGGTACACGTAATTTCTGAGACGAAAGGGGGGTATTGATTGATTGATATGTGAGGTTTAACGTCCCAAAACCACTATATGATTATGAGAGACGCCGTAGTGGAGGGCACTGGAAATTTAGACCACCTGGGGTTCTTTAACGTGCACCCAAATCTGAGCACACGGGCCTACAACATTTCCGCCTCCATCGGAAATGCAGCCGCCGCAGCCGGGATGACGAAAGGGGGGTAGAAAAACTACGTCGCTCCAAAATCTTAGGCACCTGGAAACTGTGTTTACGGCTTCATGAGAACGCGGAAACGTTGCTCAAGATGCGCTGATGGGCATGTGACGATTACGTCACGCGAAGGCAGCACCGCTCTAATGCGTACTACTAACGCAGGCCTATATGTACATTCTCGTGGAGTAATATTTCTTATTACACAGAAGCAATCAATATTTGATTGCTAACAAAAAAATGTTTACCACGTACTCTACTCTACGGTCATTTGACAGAGTAGATAGAATAATTGAAGTTTTTGCCATCAGGTGGCCCCACAGTCCAGTTTTAACGATTTTAAATGAAGAAATAAAAAGAAAACTCTCCTTTCCACGAAGAAAACAGGGTTGCTTTTACACATTCTGAGAGACAATTTTTACATCCGTGCAGTCATCCGATTTTATATTCTGGGCAGTTCTCCGTTACACTGGGTTCATGCAGCGCTAATAGGACGAAATGTTTCCCGAAAGGCGACGTGATCCCACTCACTTTACAACGATGTCCTGGGCATTCATACCACTGAAACAACGGAACTACAGACTCGTATGACATGCGACAATGTCGAAATTATTAAGACATAAATCACAACAGATTTGTCTAATTTGCATATTTATGCTGTTCAATTCACAGTCCACATTAACCGTAATTGTTGAACCCCGTATTCTCTTCGAGAAAAGCCACTGTTATTAGGCACCAACTCCACTATACCTATAGCTCTATACCTCCAGCTGCGCACCAAGAGACCGCTAGTTCTACACAACCTGGTACGAGCCAGAAAAGTGATAGGTTTGTGAATGTGGCGTCCAAGCACAGCCGAGGTCATGAGCGTTAATTTGCACAGTGCTTACACCACTTCTTACTGTAGTCACGTGACTTTTGAGCAAGCAAAAATCATAGGGACCCATGTACACTCAGTTAAAACGACTATATTTCGAAAGTCTGCTTCTCCTTCTCAATGTATTGATGCGGCCGTGCCCCACTTCATAATCTTTCTCCATCTAGCGTCGTTGCACACAGCGCAAGCTAAAATATTCATACCTAATGTTGAATTGCCTGCATGACTTGACCATATTCCACCAAGTTAAAATGTCATGTCATGAAATAATTTGAGTGACGTCACACGACGTCACGTTGCATTGAGATTATGACGAATTCTTAATGAAGTCGCCATTTTTCGTGAGGACGTCATTCAATCATTACTTTTTAATACTTGTTCACGACGCCATCATCAGCCAAAAGTGTTGCTTGGTGTACCACCTCAGGTTTTCACGATAAAACCTGAGAAACACTTGTGAGCCTGCGTGCCTGCTTTGTATTCATGGTCTTTGCCCCGCTCAAGCTCGAAGAACACGTGTACGAAGGCACGCATCGTGAATACCCGCAAAGCTCGTCAAAGAGTTAGTCAATCTGAAGCTAGTCAGTCAGAAGAAAAGTCTATGCAATTGAATTCAACGTGAAATATAAAAAAAATGCTGAAAAGGGATTCACCTGTTATTCAGCGATGTTGACATGCATGTGCAATCAAGGGCAAGAATTCTAAACGTGCAGCCTCTTTTGCGTACTTGACAAAAAATTAAACCTTTATTATTGGAGCAGTGGTGCCCTCATCCCTATCTTTACCTCTCTCTCATCCTTATAGGATTCTTACTAATTGTCAACTTTCTTTCCCGCCTTCTTGCTGTACAATACAAAAAATACCGATTTTACGCAGGACTGTGTCATACACGGCTCTACCAGGGGGCGCCGTACATCACCATGCTAAGTTTTACCTTCTACGTGCTCCTTTCTCTCTTACTTTCACTTCCGTTTCTCGCATCCTCACTCCACAACACTATATATACATGGCTTTGCTATAGCACACTATTTTGCTTGTTCGACGCCATGCTTGGCTATATATACCCAGCAATACCTGTGTTTCGGCAAGTTGGTCCACACTTAATGCGAAACAAACGAGCGCCAACAAATGGAGGCTTGAACTAAAGACAAAGAGTACAGGTTACTGAGCCTTGTGCTCAGTACACCGTAGCTCATCAGCACAAAGTGGAGGCACATCGCTTTTCAAGATGCTAGGCCATCTACCTGAAATATTATACTCCCTAATTGCCACATTATATTCCTGACTTGTTAAGTACGACTGCAGTTTTTTGATAAACAATCTCACTGTTATGAATCGAATTAAATAATCGCTGCTTGAACTTGGAAAGCATCAATCATATCTTTAGTCTCGGGCTGAGGTAAGCGAAATTGTTCTTTTCCCTAACTTCACCTCCACAATAATTGTGTTTTATATTATGGTATAGAAAACTGCAAAAGTAAAACACTAGTTTTATAGGTTTAAGTACTGCCTGCTTAAACATATGGACCACTTACGTAGGCAGGAGGTTTATTGGTGCAAGCCTGCGTTGAGAATGCCTACTTACTCATGCACACCTTCATGCAGCGCCTGCATTTCCGAAATACGCCACCTTTGCTCCAACACGCTGGCAAACTGATTGGTACGCAGGTATCTGTATCAGGACGATAAAACCACATCCGAGGGAAATGGTGCCCGGCGCAGTGTGTTTTATCTGGTTTGAACAGGCATCTTTCGCGTAGTCCTGGAACAAGGGAGCAGTTTTGTTTAGCTTGATTAACGGTGCACAAATATTTATTTTCAGTTTATTGATTCACAAGGAAATATGCAGCTTCTGCACAAAACAGTACACAGACAGCCGCTAGAATAGCAGTCAATTGCTCTGCGAACACTTGATGTCATCTCTATGCAGCAAATAGTGCAGTGCAAACTCTTTAAATATTTCTTGCTCTTTAGTCGCCACAAGATCACACCTTGTGCTGCGTTATTTTCACTAGTGGACTTCTTCCGGCAGTAATACGTGTTGGAATAAGTGTATGCGAGGGTCTTTCATCTTAATCACGTTCCGCTCCTTCGTCGTCTGAATACATAAAACAGCAGACTGTTGCGCTTGTTTCGTCGAATATAAATTAATCATGCGGTACTGAAAAAGGTAAATTATGTATCTGCATACATCACAAAACTGAATTAATCTGCATGAATACTCTGTTCTGGCACCAATTAACTAGAAAATGCCGTTTTTACATGTCTCACAATAACGCTAACGGGAACACTATCAAATTCTCAAACTTAGGCTCTCTCACGTGACCATTGCGCGGATGGCTTAGATACTGAGCGAGCAGCTTGTTTCTGTTTTTTTTTTTGTCACTGTTATATTCCGTTCTCAATACTAACTAATTGCTTTTAAACCCCAAACAATTACTTGAAACCGTTTTCGTTTCTGAAGGATTCTTTAGAAAGTGAATTTACAATCATTTCGAATATTTACAGCTTGATGGTAAGGGAATCGATCGAAATGTCTCACCGTCGCCGGCTATTGTACAGATCATCAGACAAGCCAAAATCGCAGAGAGAAAAAGTCTCATTCGGGCTGGGTGTTGTCTCCTTGTTAAAGCATTTCAAGAGAGCATTATTGCTACAATTTTGTGCTGATGTCCAACCGCTCGTCTACGAGGCTCTTTTCCATTGCCCCAATATAGAGCGTACAGAGCACCTGTTCAACGTATGGAGCACTATTGTGGCAGGTGAAAGACTGACTTACATAAAGATGGGACAACTGATGGACACACCGCTATTTTGAGCCTTCCCTAGTAAACAATGATTACAGTCCTCAGGAACAGGTTCCTGAATCTTTCGTATTCGAAACCACTATTCTTTCTTCTAATACATGCCATATCTCGCTGACTGAAATGCTAGCAAAACACATGCAGTCCACACGGCAATATGAAAAGCTTACGTACATTTTAAACAAATGTTATAACATATCGCAGCAATTGCACACTCATCCTTACGTTTTAATGCTGTGCGTAAAACTTTATTTGAATTCGTTTAATAGAATTGTCAGTATTCAATACAGGTAACTTTGTTTTTCACAATATGTTCTAACAAGACGATGTATATTTTTAAAAAGTTAAATCGGGGAGGCATAAAATGACTATGGAAGAATAAGGCATGTGTATTTATGGTTTCTGAGAGCTGATTTTTTTCGAAAGGCGTATCCGAGAGTATGGCACAATTTCATATGAATACATATTGGTATGAAACTAAAACAGGGACAAAAAGGGCCGCCATATCCACGAAGTGAATGATGATGAGTGGGCGAAGCTCTGGAGAAAAACCTGGTAAACCATGAATCTTCCGTACATTTTTCCTACTCGATTTTATTACAATGCTCCCCCTAGCGTACGTCGCCGCACTAAATCGAACGATTGCCTTCCACCAATGACACGTGCCATATGTGACATCATTCCTATTTTATAACATCTCGCATCTTTCATCATCAACTACAAGTACCACCGTCTAGTTTATAACATCTTGCATCTTTTCATCATCAGCTACAGGTCCCGCCATCTAGTGAGCACTGAAAGAACTAAACGAGAGGTGGCTACATGGATGGATGGATGGATGGATGGATATGGCTGTACCCTTTAGATCGGGCGGTGGCTAGCGCCACCAAGCCGTAATACCTAATGAACCAAAAACTATATTTATTTTTTTTTCCTTAAAAAAGAGTTTGAGGATTCGTACTTTGCAGTGAAGAGTTTAATTTTCACTCGTGCCTTGACTTTAGCCACCAATCAGATAACCTCCTTCTAGTTAAGTCTACCCGCTTAAAGTTTATTTTGACCTCCCGGTCCCTAAACCCCAGTGCTTTGAAAAACTCTGCGCCATCATCCTGAACTATAGGGTGAAGCCCTTTACAGAACATTATCAAGTGTTCGGCAGTTTCTTCTTCCTCTCCACACGCACTGCATACTGTGTCTACCCCTTCGTATTTGGCCCGATATGCAGGAGACGGTGCCGCCATCTAGTGAACACTGCAAGAACTAAACGAGAGGAGGCGACATACGGGAGACGGTACCGCCATCTAGTGGAAACTGCAAGAGCTAAACGAGAGGTGGCTACATACAGGGGACGCACAGCCCACGCCTTAAGGAGCTTCGCCCCTAAAATATTCAACGGGGCTGTTATTCATTTTCTACAGACTCCTCGAAGATGACAGCCACCTTTTAAAACGACTCTGTTCTTAGCCGAGGATTACACATCTCAGTTTCTCAACGCATCGGTGTATTAGTGGCTGCGGTGCTCTTTTAATGAACAGAAGGTCGCGAGTTCGATTCCGGCCACGGCAGTCGCATTACGGCGGAGGCGGAACGGTAGAGGCCCGTGTACTGTGAAATTGTCAGTACATGTTAAAGGACAGCAGGTGGTCAAAACATTCCGGAACTCTTCCCTATGACGCGTCTCTCATATTCCATCGTAGATTCGGGACGTGACACACCATATATTATTATTACTATTATATTCGGAGACCGTCGTACATCGGAAACAGGCATGTGCCACACCTCTCGACTTCCAACTCTCATCACTTCTTCGCTACCACACTCCCGCCACTGTAGCCAGTGGTGGTGGTGGTGGTGTTGCAGCAGGCGGGGTTAGCCTGGCCTGCATAGCCGGCACTTGTTCAGCCTGAGCATTTCCTGAATTTGGAAATTGTCACCACGTGTCAGACAGCCCAGTGTTTAGCAGGAAGACCAACAAAATTAGTTGCACACCCCTCCTAGTTGCCGCGGTTCCTTCAGAAAAAATGACGTCATCAACTGTCCGATGCCTGTGACAGCCTTTTTGCAAGATGCGGATCATCGCTGCTCTTTGTACATTAAACTGTGCGCAAAGCAAAATGAAATGTACAATATCCCCGATGTCACCGCAGAAGGCACAGAACGGGGAAGCGTATCTCCCAGTCTTGAATGACCAGGCCCGGGTGTATGCGGAGCCGGCTCTTATGAGGTACAACAGCGTCGCTTGTTCCCGAGAAATTCCATGAATTACACATGCTTGACGTAGAAACTTGTATATTTGGCAAGACTTTTAACATAAAGTTTTGGTGGATCCCATCCCACGCTGGCATTGAAGACAGTGAAAAGGCTGATGCCCTTCCATGCGAAGCACGGACATCTGTTCCAAAAGTAAGAGCTCCCAAGACTTACCAGAACAGCAAAGATGTGACACGCTACTGCAGCTACTTTATTTCACTTAATTTATACTTCATTCCACTTCATTCAACCCACACTGGACGAGTGCTGAACTTACCACTAACACCATTATTGCACCAACCAGTAGTCTTTATAGTGCACTAAACCACGCAATGCTTGCCTGTGTGTAAGCGTGCTTTGTTGGTTTGTTGTTGTACATTTTTGCGATGTGTTTCCCCTGCTAACCAAGAGCTTCACTGTTTCATCCATGCCAATTTCATTGAAAGACGGGGAGAGTTACCCTCTGCCTCGGTGTAAGAATGTTTTTCATTCTAACAAAGAAAATCATCCCAGCTTTCCTCTTCTCGCAGGTGCTTTCAAGAAAACAGGTGAGCGAACTTTGTTAGGGTATGTTGGTAAAGCTCCCCACCTTGAATTAACTAGAGTTTTCAAGCAATCGAACAAGTATTTGCTTCTTTCCCACACATGTGTATTCGTTCGCATTCTTCCTCGTGTCAACATCATCTCACAATCACTCATTTCACAACGTATTTCTAGCTCGCTATGTTTAAGGCATTCATGCGCTTGAATCCTATGTTTATTTTGTTTGTTTTTCACACAAATATACGCTGACACTCATAATGACCACTTTAGTAGGCACCGCACATGTGTCCTTTATGGTGGTTGAACAATCTCCCCATTTCTTATAGAGCTGTACTAATAAAGCCTTACGAAATACCTTTTTCTCATACGCCAACAACTGAGTGTCGTACCTTTGCCAATAAGACAGCTCATCTTGTTCTCTGCCTGATCCTTTTCATTACTATTTTACGAGGTTTCTCTGTGCAAAAAACAATTTTTTTTCGCGAGCCTCGCAAACACGAATGACGTTCCCATAATGTCTATTCTGTTGTTTTACGTATATTTAGGACAAGAAAGCAAACCCAGTTTATACTGCGTCATCGAAACTGCATGATCTGGTAGCCACACTGCAGCTACCACAATAGGGAAGTTTTCAAAGAATTAACATACAGTCCCCTCCCCCTCCAAACACAGAAATATTCGTGTGATTCTGCTCACCCGCGGTGCAACATCAAGCAGCCAGAATGAATATTTGAATAAACTTCATTTAATGTCCGGCAGTTTCCTTTAAGTGAGGCGGAGGGAAAAGGGGATTAAGCCCTGTCCCTTCCCACCCTCCGTCGATAATGATGACCATGCCTCAGGTGACCGCTTGAAGTCCTTGGAGCCGGGTGGCATCTTCGGCTTGCCGGTCAGCCCAGAGCAGGTCGGCCAGAAGTTCCATTTTATGAAGCATATGTTGGTGTGTATATTCGTAAGCCGAGAGTGTGTCTGTATCATACAGTATTTATTTCTGCATACATTTTTGTTTTTAGGTCAAATTGGTAAACACATCGTAAAGAATGGTGTATATTTATTGTGAACCATGCTCACAGTTTTAGCCGCATACCTTTCTTATGAACCTGGTTTTTTCTAATCCTCGCTTAGTTTCTGTAAAAAAAAAGAGGAATGTACAAATGTCAGTTTCATTTCAATAGAAAACCAACTAAAGAGGCAGGAAAGAAATGAATGTTGTTTAAACTAAAACTTGAAGCTGATTTTTCTTAAATGTGATCGGCTTCGCATATATTCCTCGCGTTGAGAGCGCATCACTGGAAGGATAGCATTTCGCACAATCTGCTGATCTCAGCGATATCACGAGCACGTCAGCAATCCCTACCATGCTCTTATAGTCCATGTTCACAGATGCTAACCACACGACACACCGCCACACCCTCCCTCTCCATTTTTTTTTTCAATTTTGATTTAAGAAGACTGGATTGTGTTCTCTCTCCTTCACGTTATTGCATGATCAGCCATGCCACGAAGAAATGTCAGCTCCTTCTGGCTGTGACTCGCGTGCTTTTACCCACGGGTACATAATACAATCTATTAGCTTATGTTATCCATCTGTTATTTATACATAATCTGACAGCGCCGGCCAAGCGAAAAAAAAAACATGTCCAGAATGTCCATATATATTCTTTTGCATTAAAACTAGAATGTGAACTTACACCAAAGTATGTGAAAGTGGCGTATTTGTCAGCTGATCACATTTCCAACAGAGCCCACTGCCAGAATAAGTGATGACCTACTTGTAATTCGTTTATATAGCAGTGTAGAAATAAACAATGAATGCATAAAATCTATTTTCTTTGATTAACATTCGTGACAGATATGTATCGCAGGACTACCATAAAAAATATTGTTCTCCTGAGGAGTTCTATTTCAAAATATCGCTCTATGGCTGCAGCAATGGTGAAATTATAAAGTGAGTCTTTTCGTCAGTTACATCTCATTGAAATTGTGTGTAACCAAAAAAAACAAGCCCTTAGCTGTACACTCCTTTCCTTTATATGAAAATGTACCTCGATGAGGTACTTTCACAGCTACGATCAATTACATTGCCTCACAGTACAACGACAGATCCTTACGGCAACTTCGCAGGTAAATAATATATTACTTAACAAGTGTTCATTTTAT